AAAAAAGATGCAATTTTCATTCGAAATTTTGCGAACCGCTTTTAGTTTATCTTGTTTTTTGAGAGAACGAGAGAGAGAGAGAGAAAGAGAGAGAGAGAGAGAGAGAGAGAGAGAGAGAGAGAGAGCGCAAAATTATTTAGTATCATTCGTCGCACTTTTATTATCAGTGTGCAGCATTGATGTAAGGCTTGATTTGATTTTCATGGAAATATTCAAGAGCAAATTTGTTTGGTGTAAATGGATTCAATTGTGATGCCATTCAACCCGAATGAATTGAGCGCGAAAAGCTCCTAGTTCGTGAACCAGATTCTCGGAATTATTTCAGTTGGGATATCATGTGTGTATGATGGATTCCATTTGCATGATACATTATACTGTACTAATCCAGGCTGATTTATGATTTACGCATTGATCTTTCATAAATGTTATTGACAATTTCACAAATATAATTTCATCCAATTACACAAGCGCCAAGCATAAATGATGCTCTCGGTTGGCTTTTTTTGCACATTAAATTCATTACAAGATTGAATTTTCATTGGGTGCGAGAGAGAGAGAAAGAGAAAGAAAAAGCACGCAAAATGGTAACTGGAATGTTTGCAAAACGAATTTAATTAGTGGTTAATGAAAACCTACAAAAGTGCAAATATTGGGACAGTACTTTCTGGTTTGTAATTAAATAATTTTAAAAGTATTTTATTACGTGATCAAACCATTTTTTTCTTCATTTGAAAGCATTGGGCATAAATGACATCCGTATAAATCCATTGATGCGATTGTTTACGGCACCGCAATTTCCAAATGACGCACACATTATTTATGGTATGAAAATTGAGAAAGGCAAAATCATAGCAAAAAAAAATGTCCCTTGACGTTTTTCGAGTGGTTAGTCATATCTCATATTTAATCCCCTCAATGCTTTTTTTTCGCTCTCTCGGTTCAACAAATAAACCTCATGCGTGCACATTCCGCAGTATATAAATATTGAACACCCGAAAAAAAACGCAATTATTGGTTTATGTATGCGTTATCGTCGTCATGAACGTTTTATGTGCCAAAAATTGGGTTAACGTTCGATGATAATAAATAGAACGTGTGCAACGAAAAAAAACAACAAAAACAACACCAACAAAAACGACAACAGAACAGGAACCACATCGAAAATTGCACACAGAGCGAGCGAACGAACGAGAGAGAGAAAGTTCGTTGACTGCCGAAAATAAAAGTAAAAATAAGTTTCAAACTATGCCGTTTGTTTGGCCAAGTTCATGTTTCGGCGAAACTACCGAAAATCCCATATGCATGCACTGTCGCTGCGAAACTGTACAGACACTCTGAGCTTCTCATCCACTGAACATTGCAAAATAATATATATATATATATTCATACATGTATGTACGTATAGTGAGTGAGAGAATGCGAGAGCGATAGAGCGAAGGAGACACAGAGAGATACATAGGCGGCTGTATATTATATATATATATATATATATATATATATATACAACAACAACAATTTTGCACTCATGGACATATGTTTGAAGCTCAACAGTTTGTTTTGGCTGTTTGTGCTGGTAGGTGGCAAGACCACGATGATTTTAATATTTATTACCATTTTTGGGGCAGGTCATGGTTAAGACGAAAATAAAATCGAAAACAAAATAAACAAGAGCACAAAATACATTTTTTGGTTCACTGAAGACGAAATTCAACACCGAAAACGAATGCCACATAAATGTGCATACATGCAATATGTGTGTGTGTGTGTGTGTGTGTGTATTTCGTGTATCTTTCACTTTGTTTTTGGCTACAGCCGCCTCAAGCACACGTCATTCAACTTGCATTTCAAAATGTATACCGGCGATTTTTTTTCTCTCCGTTTTTTGTTTTGTTGCTTCCGCATTTTCAAGAACAGACGTCCAGAATTTGATAAAAAAAAAAAATAAACCGACAAATTTCCGTTGGTCGAAACTGTTGGCATATGTCATTTTTCCGAGCGATAAATATTTCATGCGATTTGATCGAAGTGATTTATATTTGGTGGCACTATCACCATTTGTTCATTATCGATTTGGTTATTGTTGCTAAACACGCGAGAAAATCGACGAGAAAATTCTCACTTGAATCCAATAGGCAAATTGCGGCCGTACTATACAGTTAATACACATACCGTGTTACTTGTATCGCACACAAAACAATGAAACGCATACACATTTTTTCTGTTTATTTCTCTAGAAAGAAAACAATTTATATATTTAGCAGAATTTTAATTTCGAAATCCAAACGACGATGACCAAAGTAAATTTAATGGCACAGATTATTTTGAGAAATTTGATATGACAAAACAAACTATTCTAAAATTACCGATAATACGCCAATTATCTAGGAAAACCGAAACAAACTGAAAGATAATCGCAACCACTTCTAGACGAGAACAAAACGGGCGAAAAAAAACACATTTGCAATAAATAAATAAACAATTGATATCATCATCATCATCATCAGCAATGGTGGAACGGATTGGGAGGTCTGTTCACATTTTCTGTGGCGTTCAAACAGAAAAAGAATTCATAGCGTGTGAGCGTATTAGCCATATGCATGAAAAAATTCTTTTAAATCCACCCACGATAAGTAGCGGCTAAAAAAAATCTTTGTAAATAAATTCGTATTTCTTGGAATTTAACAGAAATCTTCTGGTGCAAACAAAAAGAAAATGAAATTAATCATCTAATTATTGCTGATGAATTTATATGCATGCTTATCTTTGCACCATTTATTGATGTGTGTGTGTGTGTGTGTGTTTGAATGTGTGCATTTTTTTCTCTCACTCGTTTTGCGACATTTGCAAAACTCATAAATAATACCGCAACCGAATGCAATTCTATTTTGATGGATGATAAATGAAACCAAACAAATTTAGATACTCTACACACACACATAGATAGAGAGAGAGAGAGGGAGAGAGAGAGAGATAAAGGATTTCAGCGAAACGTGATTTACATTTGTCTGCTGTTGCCCTTTGCACATGAAAATTTATAACGATTTAAATAAATTCAATATTTGGCACCATAAAAAAGACCTTTTTAATTACACACCGACAAAAATACGGTTGTGACTGTATGCTGTGGTGTGTATTTCAATTTTCGTGACATTTAAATATCTTGGAGTATTATGTAATTTACACAGTATTATCGATTATTTGGCGATATTTACTGAAAAAAATATGTGTATCGAATAACGCGAAAAAATGCCATTTAACATCAATACCGACGCTTATTTGTTTACTTCATCCATTCGCAAATACGCAACGCAACTTGTGACGGCTGTTTACGCGTTGCATTTAATATCGAAAGTATTTTATTTACGATTCCATCCGGACGTTTTGATTACCACTCTGTTTTTTTTTATTGTTTATCCGAAATATTCACAAATTATCGACAAAATGAGTCAGCTCGCATAGCTTATGTTGTTGTTTTTTATTTTAATTCCCAAAGAACTTACTTTGTCTTTGTTTGGAATGCCAAAGAATTTCATTAAATCGAAACGAATGCAATGCACATTCATTGCAACGCAAAGTTTTGACGAAGTCTAAGTGCATTTTCTGAAGGAAAATTCCATTCCCATTGATTTGTTCGTTGATTTGGTGTTGGAAAAATGACGCAAACGAAATGATGAATTTCAATGCTGTGAATTGATTATTCAGCAAATATTCGTCTGGTCTTTTGCATTTTTTTTTTGTTGCACGAATGAAACGGTTGAAAAATGAGTCGCATTAGCCCAAACAAACAAACAAACAAACAAACCAACCAACAAAATAAATAAACACTTGCATTGGACGCTGAAATTTCATCGTTTTCAATTCGAAAACCGAACTCAATCTCAATAATATGCCGTCATTGGATCTTGTTGCCGGGACTGTGTAGAACGCACACATAGCCATTTCCATGGAAAATGATAATAAAGTTTGAATTATAATTCTTGGTCTTTCATTATAAAGTAATACGTACGAACACGGATAAGGAAATGGATAACTAATGCGACATAGGTTTGCTCTGATGGAACATAACATGATTTCTGTAATCTACCAGATTACCATTGCGAAAATATTGCATGCAAGTGATTTTGCGGTGTGAGACGAATGGTCCGAAGCGATGAGGCGATGCGATACACACACACACACACACACGGAGAGACGAAGTGAGAAGGAGAAAACGGGAGAATGAGATGTTTATTAATTCACTTTGTGTATGCATTTTAAGACGATTGAATTGAATGCTTAAAAACATGTCCTTATAATACGGTTATCGCATATCGAATATGCCGTATGGTCTCTCTCTCTCTCTCTCTCTCTCTCTCTCTCGTTGATTATGTTATGCATTTCGATTTAGAGGCAATTCGATGAAAACTCAAAATTGAGGCTTCATTGAAATGTTGTTTTGGTTGAAATATGCCAATCGAATCACTTAGTTAATAATGCAGCAACCCGAAAGAAGTATAACCACAACGATGAAGATCAAAGGAATGCACCAACATTCAGCCCACCAACAAATCACACACAACCTCACGCTATAATTATTACATTAGAGCTTTATTCATATCGTATCGCATTGACAGAAATGCATTCACTCTCTCGTCGTGCCACAGTCTCACACTCGAACACAGTCGCAACACTACTGTTTTCCAGTCATCCGAATAAGATTAACACGAAATATGCGGCTCAATTGATAGGTTGCTAATTGCGGTCTTCATTCAATGGGTTTCATGAAAATTACAAGTAAATTCAACTCTCTTAACGCTCTCATTCCAGACACAGACATAGACACCAATAAATATTGCTTCAGTTTCGATGCTTACACTCGATTTTCCAAACACTTCTCTCTATTTTTATTAGCTCGTACATTGTTTTTCAGCAGTAAATGTTGCAACATACATATTTTTTGGTTCAAAATTTTCCGAAAGTTACTAATAATGGTCTCTCTTTTTCTCTCGTTTCGTTGACAGGCTTAGAACGAATTGCTGAAGAATTGATGGGTCGCAGGAAATGGAAACTATATCAAGAAGTCCTTGTGCGTTCCCATTCGAATTCAAATACAACAGTAACAACAGCCAATCAAATCAACAATATTACCGAAACCGGTAACTAGTTCATTTTTTCCTACAAACAATTCAAATAAAATCCAAAAAAAAAAATCTCACAAATACAGTTTTACGAAATAAAAGTTTTCTGATAGACGTGCATTGCAACAACGGCGAAGGGAATTCGTCATCGCTTCAACAAAATACACAAAACTCATCACGTGCCGACAACGTCAGCCAGCAACAGCAACTACAACAGCAACAAGAACTACAGAGTAAGTTTGTTTAGTAACCTCCTTTTTTTACGTGCAACATTTTCAATGGGTAGTGGTTAATATGTTATCGAGCGCACACACATACGAAAGAAAAAAAAACTAATTATCGCTTCCAAACATCTTGTGCTTTAGATTTGAAACAATCCATCATTCCACAAGAAAAGCTAGAAAACGCTCTTGGGACAAAAACGAGCGACAAAGATAATACAGATAATAAATTGGTCACAGAGCAAAGTTCCGAAATCGGTAAGCAATTGCATCCGACAAAAAAATGTTTGAATTGTGACATTGTCAATCAGAGTTAAAGCTTAATGTGTCCTTATTTGCAGGAAATTCTGACAAAAACCTAGACGATAATTCGCATAATAACAATAGTATTAGTGACGAAGCAAACGATCAAGAGAAATTACCAACGCCCATCGATTGGAAGCCACAAGAAAATTGTTACTTTTGTGTGGACGGCAAATTACTCACCGTGAACGACAAAGGAGACTTAGTGGCAGAGTCGGGTTCGGTGAATACCGAACCAGAACTCGCCAACAGAGTATGTAGCTCACATGCAAACAGACACACTGACACAACACCACACACAAAAACCAAATTGTTGTGGTCAACACCATATTGAATGATTCAAATGTTTCGTTTCTTTTCATGTGTTTTTTTTCTTCGTTTTTCTTTTCTCCGTACAGACGATAATAGAGTCAGACTCTGACTCTAGTGTTTGTTCTGAGCCCGAAATTGCAAATTACAACACACCATTGAATAAGATAAACAAGCAATCGCCATCCGTAGCCGATCTGTTACGTAATTCACTATTACAGCAGAATATGACTTCCTTTGAATCGATGACAGCACAGTTAGCAACCATCGCATCGCTAAATGGACTATCACCGTTATATCCAGGTAATGTATCTGTTTTACGTGTACATACATATGTGTGTGTTCCAAATCAAAATCATCCTCCAATCCATCAAATGTGAAAACAAAAACAAAATTGAACAATAAATGAAAACGAAACGGTTTTGTTTTGTATTCGGCTGGTTTTTTCTTCTCTTCCCGATTTCAGGGTTAATCTATAATCCGTTTATGCATCAAATGCATTCGAACGCAACGACTACGACCGAATCCACGTCTGCTGAAAGTCCAGGTGCAAAGCCATCACCGAGCCCAGTTGATCTGAATACAGAACAGCCGCTTGATTTAAGCGCTAAGCCATCAACAACGCCAACACTTTCCAATGATCCGAAACAAGTTTTCAGGTAACCGTCTCACTCTCTCTATCTCTATCTATCTTTTTTTCGTGCTCTCTTCTTCATCTCTTTTCTATTTTTCTCACGTCCATCTCGTTAATTAGCATTTATTATTGTGCAGTGAGTCACTTTTCATTCGCAATTGGAATATTGCAGCGAATCGAAAGTGTCTCACGATTTTTGCCATACGCCAGCCGCCACATCAAAACTGTTCGATTTGCGCCTTGCTGTTTGTTGTTTTTATTATTATTATCATTATTTTTTTTTGTGCCATGTTCGCTTGGTTTCGTGTATTTATTTATATCATTTTGTACACTTTCCCCAAAGTGCATTGATAAATTGCATCATATTAAAACACGATAACAATTAACCTAATTAGTATTGTGTTGATATTGAGGAGCGTGCTGAATGTGCGCTCCATCGATGAGAAACAAAATGCATTTGTGTGATAGCGCACACACACTCCTCTCGCTCCGTATTCCTTTCCGCCCAAAGTAATTTTCGAATATAAGCGCGTGTGCTTTTATTTCACCTTTTTCTCCGTTATTATATATTTTTTGCAATGCAACAAAAAAAAACCTTCGATTATCCATTGTTGTGTTTATCAGAAAAACCTCTTGTGGCTAGCAATTGCATCACAGAGTCGTTGTTATCACGTATACAGCGTCCAATTTCCCACTTGTATCTATGTCATCATAATTCTTTAGAATTTCGAAACCTCAATTCCGAGAATTTGCGTTTCGTTCAACGAACAAATGAATTTAAAAAAAAAACGCCAACCGTTGCTACCGCATTTCTGCGTCAAATATCTTCATTTAGCACATTCATCCTTTCGGTTCTGTTCTTTTTTTTGTTTTTCAATATTTTGTTCAAGATAAAATTATGCTGATGTCAATTGGACGTTTAATAAAGAAAGAACATTTTCCGTAATTTCTGTTGTTTTGAGTTCGAATTTTTGTTATGTATTGGATACTCACTGTATCACCAAAATGGATCAGAACACCCATTCTCCGCCGATGCCACAGCTTGTCGGAATAGAAAAACAATATGCAATGTTATGTATAGTTTTCTGACTTTGACTCTTTTTTACATCGTTTTTAATTCATGTATGTATCTACCAAATGCAATAGGTGTTGTCCTCCTTCCCATCGCCCAGATCCATCTATACACTAGATAATAATATATGTACCATAATAATCCAGTTATTTCTAGTTGATTTAAGTAAAAACTACGATGACAACAACGGCGCAAGATAAAACCATTGAAACCAATGGTTTGACATGTTTCTGAATAAAAATTCAACGAATCCGACATTTTTTGTCTGCTTTTTAATCGAATTGAATGACATTTATAATGCGGATAACGAAAATAGACACACACACACACACACACACACACACAAAAACAGCAGCGCGCGCGCACACACATACAATCGTATTGAAGTGCAGTTTTATCAATTCAAATAAAAGACGTATGTTTGACGTTGAATTCGAAGTTATTTTGTTGAAATGTCGAATACGGCACATTTTCCTACTCATCGCACTTTCACACATCAATTTTCTCATACAACTTAGCCATCATCGAACATTTAAATGTTTACAAAAGGATGTTGAATTTATATAGTCAACCGTTTTCGAGTGACATAGAACTCGCAGTACAAAAAGCAATCGAATGAAAACATACGAGATAATAATACAGAAAAAAAGGGAGCACATAAACAATGATAACACAAACAACTGCATATATGGATATGGAGGGCTTTTACGTGCACATACTCGTTTGCTCGCTCGGTCGCTTGCTTGCTTGCTCGCTCGTGCTCATTCGCTCTTCCGTCACTCCCTTGTTCTTCGTCTCGAACTGAAGAGCAACAACTTAATCGCAAAATCAACATAAGTGACCTCAATTAAAGAATTTTAATCATATTTTCGCAAACGAATTTCGTTCCTATATCATACATATATTCGTCATTCGTCAATTTATTTATCGAGTTTTATTTCCTTGGTGCCCGTCGTTTCTACTTCATCTTATTCTTGTTCCCGTTTTTTTCTTCTGACCCTCAATGCATCTGATTGTGATACAGATTGTAACCTATTTTATTTAGATAAATAAAAAGGCTGTGTTCATTTCTACATTGGCCAATATAATTGCAGTGAATTCAGCAAGAGAATCGATTGATTTGTTTCACGCTGTCCTAGGTCAAAATGTATCTCTTCTCTTGCGAGTCATGAGTGAAATGCATTGAGAAAGGCCAACAAACTGGATGAATTCATTTAGTGGAGTGGACAAATCAAAACGCGGAATTCAGTTTGAACAAACATTTTCATTGTTAAGACGTTGTCGGGCCTACGACTACCGCGGTTCATTCTTTTTTTTTTCGCTGTGTGCACGCACTTCACTCATTCTGTTTATCATCTGAATTCAACTGGTTGCGAAATCGCAGTAGGCAAAATAAAACATAAGGAAATTTTTTTTCCCCCGTCGGCCCAATCATTTTACAGTGTGTGAATATGCCGAAATTGGGACTCTTTGTGCGCTTGATTTTGATGAAATATTCGTAACAATATTTCGCTTTGTTTGCGATCCGAAGTGTGAATGAACCGTCCATATTTGGTTGCTTAACACGAGGTCGAACATATGTACGCATAGCGTATAACGCACTCATACGCACGCATCGCAGTTACGAATCGCTTTACATTTTTTTATTATTAACTTCCAAAATAAATATTGATAATTGCAATTCGGTCGAGAGTTTTTTTTTTGGTTCAGAGCTAAAAATGCCGTGTCTCCTTGACAGCGAACGCGTTCGTTTCGGCTATTTTCAATCACTATACCATTTTGATTGAATCTGACGATGTTGAAGCGGCAGAAGGAAATAAATGTGTATACTTTTCGTACGATTCAAAAAACCGAAATAAAAATAAAAACTAAAACAAAATATTCAAAGGCATTGATGGATTGGATTCCAGTGATTCAGACGACTTAAGTGCTTCTGGCTATATCACATTCATGTGCAAATTAGCACATTGCACAAGGGGCATTTACTTTTTACAATGTTTTTTTTTTCTCTGCTCTGTGCACAATGCACATTCACCTTGAATGGGTGAGCCAACGGTGATGTTTTGCGGTTCGAAAACAAGATTTATGAAAATTTATTAGCTATTTACTGCTTCCGCTGTTTTCACAAGCCAAATAATTCGAAAATTAAATTCATCATGTCGACAGTAATATCGCTGAACAAGTTCGCTTTATCCTTGAAAATAAAAAAGATTCTGGCTGTAAATGAACTCGGCTGCGAGACGAAAATAAGACGAATGGTAAATCATTGCACTTTGCGCGAAGGATTTTCACACAATAGCAACCAAATGTGTGGGCATTTTTCGATGTTGTTTTTGATCTTTTTTGAACGAAAAGCGTTGATTGAATAAATAATCGATACGTGAATCGGCTGAGGCGTTTTGGCATTATGACATTTTCTTTCTTAACAAAATAAAAATAAAAATAAAATGAAACAAATCGTTTGCTGATATTTATTCATTCCTTTTTATTCGTTTCGTATTTTATTTTACGATGCAGAGCGAAACCACGTCTGTCAACTGTGGCCGGTCGAAAAACATACACTGAAGAGGAGTTACAAAATGCCCTTGAAGCGATTCTAAGTGGAAAACTTGGCACACGAAGAGCTGCCGTACTTTATGGTATACCGAGATCGACTTTACGAAACAAAGTCTATAAATTGGCTATGGAGCAAAAACGGGAAGCAAATCTGCTAAATCAAGCCTCTGTTTTAGATGACCTTGACGATGATGACGATAAGGAATTGTCTGGCGGCGAAGAAGACAAACTGAAAGATGATTCAATGCTCACACCCGAAGAAATGATTCGGCTCTCATCATCTCGTGCATCCTCGGCGGCCGCCAGTCTGCAGAAGATTTTCGAGAACAACAGTCCAAAATCGGATGGCCTCACAGCGCCCACCTCGCATCCGATGCAATCGAATAAATCACAAACATCCACGTCAACCACTTCCTCACCGCCCCTGGTCAACAATCCATGGCTTAACCCAGACATGTTCTCCAATCTGCTGCTAGCCACCGGCCTAATGCAGCAAAAATATGACGATCCAACGTTCCAGGAGATTTTGCGCAGTCTATTGATACGGCAACAGGAATTGATGAAGCTGAACACAGCGAATCAAACGACGTCACCCACAAAGGCAACGGTCGATCATTTGAACAATGGTAAGCCATCGGATTCGAGAAATCTAATGCACAACATTTCATTGCTTCAACAACAACAAAATAGACTGATCAAGTCCGAAACACCAGACACAGTGCCGACATTAGATTTGAACAATGCCGATGAAGCGGCTGCTCTTCTAAAAATTCCGTCCTATTCCAAATTATTGGGATCATCGTCATCGACCAGTGGCAAGAATGGTGATAACGCAAACGATTCCACTCCGCAAACGACACCGCCATTGCATTCACGTAGTCCTCAGGCGCATCTATCGACCGACGTATCGCCGCCGGTCAATCGACAAAACAATGATTCTCAATCGCCACCGATACCGGGCATTGGCAGCAAGGGGATGCTATCGCTGCGCGATGTTATTGCCAAAAGTATCACTAGAACGTTTAGTCAACAGAATGCGGAAACAATGAACAAGCCTTCCATGGAGCATCTAGAATACAAGCGGCCAAGCATATCGGTCATTAAGAATTTGGGCGGCACGGATATATCGAGGTTCGCCACAAATCCAAACATGATCGCCTCGATGCATTCGCACTCGCACTCGCACTCACACTCACACTCACATTCGCATCCAAACAACTCCCAATCGCCATCAAATCTAAACAACACCGGCAAAGGTACACGACCCAAGCGCGGCAAATACCGTAACTATGATCGTGACAGTTTGGTGGAAGCGGTCAAGGCCGTTCAGCGTGGCGAAATGTCAGTTCACCGAGCCGGCAGTTACTATGGTGTACCGCACTCAACGCTAGAATACAAAGTCAAAGAGAGACACTTGATGCGACCAAGAAAGCGAGAACCAAAGCCACAGCCATTGGACAGCAGTGGCGGCAGCACATCGTCGATTTCGTCGGTGAAAAGTCACGATTTGGCCGGATCGGTGAATGCGGGCATTCGTGGACTGGACAAAGCATCGAAATCGTCCATGCCAACAACAAAGACGCCAATGAAAACGCCCCCATTTCCGGCTGCATCGGAGAACGGCTTGAAAATGGGCCTGTTTGATCCGTCACAATTGCAGTATCCACCTCAATTATTCTGGCCACATGCACCCGGCTTCGCCGGTTTACCGATCGATTTCCCTCAACGAACGTCCGGAACGAGTGCCGCCGCATTCGGTGGTAATGCCGAAACCTACTTTGCAACCCAAATGATGCGCTTCCAAGAAGATGCATTACGTTCCAATGCCAACAATTCCAATAACAAATCGGACAGCGATTTAGCACGAAAGAAAAGTAAGAGCGAACGCGAATTAACATTAGAAAATCTGTACGATGGTGGCGCGAATGGCTCATTTTTGGATGGTATCATTCGTCACAGCTTAGATAGAAAATCCGATTCGATTCCACATGGTGCACTTTTAGATCAATTAGTCAAAAATAATCGACAGTCGGTGTGCGATCCGGAAAATAACACCAACAGCAACAATAAGCGTGCGGCCAGCCCATACAGTTTTGTTCATCAGGCGATCAAGCGCGAACGAACGGGATCATCGTCCGGCGATACCGATCGTGAATCCGTTGAACGTGACATGTCCAAGGAGTCGGTCGAAACGCTGCTTAAATTCCGAGATAACCTAACCCTACGCATGGACGAGAAAAACCTCAAAGACTCTGTGGAAGATTTGAACGGGTTATCATCCGACAACAAGAGTGTCCGCAACACAGAGGCCGACGACAGTTCATAGAAATTAAGAGCGAAAAAGTGAAATTAATTTTTACGTATTTTTCGTATACTCAAGTATGACATTTTATGAGAGAAACAAAAATTACAAATGGAAAAAACCAGAAATAATTTGTTCGAACATTGACCACGATGCGAAGAATGAAGGCAATTTTTTTTTTTTAACATTAACATGATCGTTTTGTAGCGTGAAAAAGCGCGTAAGTTGAATACAAACGCGTTTCTAAGCGCAAAAAGTGTATGTCGACGCAAGCGAAAGATATAGCAAAAACAATTAGAGAGAGAACAACACGGAAGACAAGACAAAACGATAAAACAATAAAAATGAAGGAAAAAAACAACAATTTTATCATTTATATAGTATTTAGCTATCTACATAAAATGATTATTATCTTTTTTATATAAATATATATATATCTTTCGTTTGACAATCGACCTATAGGCTCCTGTACAAACCAAAAAGAATTTCCAATGATACTAACAACAACAACAACAACACAAAATCTGTAAAAGCGAGAATTAAAATCGAAAAAAATGCGAGAAAAGAAAAAAATCGAATGGAAACAAAAATGAAATGAAAATAAAATAAAATGCGGAAACAAAGAATCAATGAACCAATGAAACTACGGAAAATATACAAAGCTGAAATGAATATTTTTGAGATAGAGAGACAGAGATAGAGGAAAAAAAGTAGGTGCAACTTGATGCCATTTTTTTTTGGTTCACAATACAAACCACCATACAAACAAAGCACAGACATTTTCAACCTTCAATTCAAAAACAAAACCATTCAGATGCAACTGATGTTATAGTTTTTTTTCTTCTCTCTCTCGATTTGTTTTGAATGAAGGAAAAAGAACCATATGTCTTTGGTTCAAATGCAATATCATCGGAAACTGTTCTACTCCACACATACCGAGCGGTAACTATAACAATGGCATGCTTTAGCCTAGCCAACAGTTGCATCAACTTTGTCAGAGGGCTTCACTTGCACCAACATCAAATCACACAATGAACAAGTCCATCGCGAATACAGCTTTTCAACCGAACATAAAAATCGCCGTCAAAACTATAGAAAGATAACAGAAAATCAATCACCAATACACAATCTTCAAACAGAATCGCAATATCAACAGCAACAACAACAATGCTTAAATCAAAACCCAGAGAAAGCATTTTAATTTTTCTATTTTCGTTCATTCCTACTGACACTGACACTAACTAATATCATTTTTGCGTCGAAATTTCGTATCCAGTTGACAATTTTCAAACGTCTTGTTTAAATGATAACAAAAAAAAAAATATGTACTAGATATTGAATGTCTATTTTATATCAGGCACAGTAACAAACAAACAAAGAAAAAAAAAACACGGGAAAAACCATATGTTTGGAAATAATGTTTTGAAAAGAGCTCTTCAAAGAAAAATGGGAAGAAACCATTGAAATTTGTATGCGAAATTGTAATTTAGTCGAAGGTATACTCTTCTTCAACGTCCTGATTAGAATGTGCAAATATCAAACTATCAACTCATGTGGCGACAAAGTAAATGAAGAAAAAGAAAACAACAACAACCACACACACATACAGGTTTAATGGAATCAAAACACAGAACAAACAAAATCATATACTTTTGGCTATGAGATTTATAACGTTTCTATACAAACGAAACCGAATCAAATTATTCGTAAAAAAAGACTTAATTGTATAAACAGAAAATAAACTAAAAAAATAAATAAATAATAAAAAAAAACAGAATAGAAAATAGGCGTACATATGACTGGTTACTGCGACGTGTGTTTTAATGCCTGCCGGATACGATGTAATCGGGCAAAATTTATGCTAAAAACTGCTATTTTTTTAGTACAAAAAAACCTCGGTACCACATCTAAGGTGTTCATATTCATATGTATGCCAGACAACACACACACACACACTTACACCGGCGAGTAAATATTTAAAGTGTCTATCAAAAATGTGAGAAAGATTTATAAAATTTAAACACGGATTCAAAACTGAACAACAACAATAAAAACAAGCATAGTGTTGGATATTTGATATGAGGAAAACACAAAAATGAAATCATTATATGTAAACTAAACGCATGTATTGAATGAAAATTAAGCAAAATTAACGATTTACACACAACCACAAAAATTTATATCATTATACAATTATATGACTATATACTTCGGTGTTTCAAAATTAATGTATTAATGGGTGAACAGAAAACAAAAAAAACCAAAATTGTAATAGGATGCATTCCATATATGCGTATAAAGTGTGTAGTGTATTAACAAAGTCATAATCGTTTGATGTTTATTAAAAGAAGAAGAAAAAAAAGAGGTTAAATCCTATATTATAAGAAAACGATGTTAATATTCAAAACTTTCTTTGAATCAAAAGCCAGTCGAAATGTGCAATTTTGGTGAAACAGCACACCAGCGCTGACCGGAGCTTTTTTACCACACTTTTCAAAGGGTACGAATGATAATATGAGCGACACCGTTTGAAAGTTCAGCACATTCACGTTATTCACATTTGCCAAATAAGAGCATTGTGGCATTGCCGTATCGTCGAATCGAATCACATGAATGCACTAGCCTATCAAACACTATCCATTCTCACTCATTTCAACAAATTCATTTCAAATGAAGAGAGAAACGAACAATCTCCATCAATGGACAAGTATGAATTGACTAGTTTTTGCTATCAAACATTTTTCCACTGGCCAAAAACCAAATTGACCAGACAAGATTCAGAACAAACAAATAAAAAAAATCATATTATTATATACTGTGTATTATGATTATAATTTAAATAATATAATACTACATAATATATGTGTGTGTCTTCACGTTGCGTATACCTCAATGAAAACAAGAAAAAAAATAAATAAAAAAAATAATCATAGATATTTCTTATTTCGGTGTAATGAATCAAACAACCATGAAATTAACACTTTCGACTTTATAAAACGAAAACAAAAAATGAACCGACTATTTTGCCACCACGTGGTTACTTTATTATTGAATGGAATTACTAAGGAAGAGACAAAAGTGAACGAGATCATCAAGGATTTTAAAAACTTTTGGAAATTTAATCGAAATTGTTTTTTTTTCACGGAAATTTAGTCTATATTATACACAGATACAAAACAAATAGACTTCAAACGATTGAAGCAAACCACAATCGTGTGCCTATCATATCAAAAACGATTGGTTTTTTTGTCCTTCATTCATTTTCAGTCTCGTTAATTTTTGAAATTCGACAAAAGCTCCAAGTGGCTATTGTCAAAATTCCATTGATTTTTCCAAAACGAAAAAAATTTCATGCCAAAAATAACAAAATTCGTGTAATGCAACCCCATTTTGGTAACGAAAAACCGAAAATGTTTGTTTATTTTTCACACTCATCGTTAATTATTGCTATTCATTCAACACATTCACATTGTCTATTTTATGTTCATTCCAAAGTCCGACAAAAGGAAAACCAACACAATGTTGTTTATTGTAGAATTCAAATTGGAGAACAGGGAGTTATTGGTCATGCAAAAATCCTGAATCAAACATTGTCTTTTTATTGATATTTGAGCGAGAAAATAAAAGCGAACGATGTTACAACAATCATTGAAAGAAAAAAAGTAAACTCAATCAACCATCATCATCAACAAGTAACAACATTCAAAACGGGAAGAAAAAATAATGCGGAAGAAAATCTATGAAAAGCTATTTAAATATAGAGAAATATATATTTTCGGGAGAATGCATTGTACTTGTACACCTATGACAAAGAAAAAAAAATGAGACAAAATAATAAGACAAACATGTAAGAAAAACGGAATAAAAAAGAGAACTAACAAAATCATTATGATGAACAAAAATCAGATAGAAACGGAAAAGACAAACACAATGAGGAGAGAAGAGAAAGCAAAAAAAGCTGTAAACGAGTATACAAAAAATACATATATATACAAACACACCCACACACAATGATTATAGAAGTAAAGACTCTATTTATTACGGAATGGGGAAGATTTGTGGATCCATATTCTCACATGTCTTGCGAAATAGCTTATATATTTTTCGCTCGAAAGGAAAGAGCGATGCATGAAGAATAAGAAGAAGAGGAAATGATCAAGAACAACAACAACAACAACAAATTTCAAATATAACGTGGAAGAAGTTTAAATTTAAAAAAAGAAAATCAACAAAAAATATTATGTACACTATCTGTGATTAATAATCCAAAATTTTGATGTATATTTTCTCAGCAAGTATCATAGCAAACAGAAAATTTAATGCGTTAAACAAAAATGAGGGGAAGAGAAAATAGATAATTTACAAGGGATGAAGAGGGCGAGGGGAAAGTGAGGGAGAGAAAGAGAGATATGGAGAAATGACGAGAAAATATGAAGCAGAGAGTATAAGAAATAGGCGTCTGCATGAGATTTGGTAGAAGTTTTTATTTGTCCTTTTTGCCATTTATATTTGAAGTAATCGTTTAAAAAAATATAAACAACATGTAAATCATTGTGAATGATGAGTAGAAATAGAAGCTGGGAAAATAACGTGGAAAAGATTAGTGAATGTGAATACAATAACAAAAAAAAAACAAGTAAAATTAAGATCGCACATTTTGCCATTTAGGATAAATGAAAAAGGGGAAAAAAATCAAAGGACATGTGGAACGCTAACAAAACAAAACAAAACAAAACAAAAAAATCCAATGAAAATGTTGTATTTTTTCAATTTTCGAATGAAAAGAAAGAAAAAACTTAAAAAAATAAACAAACTAAAAAATTGCCGCCGATGCCGACACCGCCACCGCTGAATGAACTAAACAAAATAACAAAAAAGAAATCTTTGGTAATTTTTTCTGCAGACGTATATTTTCTACTTTTTAAATTTAGTGAAAAAAAGAACCGGAACATTGAAATGGACTAGAGGTTTAAAAACGAATTTCGAAATTGTTTAGGATAAATTGAAACAAAAAACATTGAATGAAAATCTTCAAATACACACACACACACACGCACACACACACACACACACACACACACACACAGTGAATTCGTTTATTCTTTTGAATGTTTTGAATGTCAAACCTAAAAGAATATAATTTAACTAAAAAACTATGAAATAAAAGTGCAATTAGATCGATATAAACGGTAACATATTCGCTAATGAAATATTATTTAAAAGATGAAGAGAAAAAATAAAGATGAAACAAAACATAGGGAATAAAATTTATTCTATTTACATATTTAAAGAAGAATGAAAGAAATGAGAATGAAACAGAATGTTCGAAGAAAGACGGAGAGGAAAAAAAAGAAACAAAATGATAGTTAAAAAAGAAATTACGTATTAAATGTAAACAAAATGAAAATTAAATAAAAAATCATAAATAGAGCAGTTGTATAAGTTAGCAAAGAACAAAATGGTACACTCTTAAAACAAAAATGGAAACCGAAACAACAACAAAAAAAAAAAACATTATCGTAAAGAAAAAAA